GGCTGACTAGGTCATACTGATCAACCCACACCACTTCAATATAACTCAAAGCTTCGATTATTTACTATTTAGTTTATAGTTTTATTAATTCTCTTTCTTTTTAAATGAACGTCCGATCCTACTAAATAGAAAAGAATTGCTAAATATAACAATACACTATTAAATTTATATAGCTTATGTTAGATGCTAATGTGCCCAATATTCCAAGTTGTATTTAATGTCCCGAACATCCAAAACGGCGTGTAGATGTCATTACTGCTATCATTGAAGTACTGAATGATGTGTCTTGTTGCGCGAAAGCTTATTCGAAATTACATGCCTAGGCTACCACTAGTTACGATCGCATACGAGGGCGACGTGTAGGTAGTACAGGGGCTCGGCGCTTTAAACCTCCTTCCGGGTGAGTAGTACTCTCAAAGTTGGCTCTGTGTTAGTTGTGCTACACCCCATTAGGGATTAATACAAATTTAGCAACATTATGTCTGTTAGTCATGAGACTTTAGTCACGGCAATTCATAAGACCGATATAACCCAACCCAGTTCAATCTCCCTATCGCCACCTTATCTAGTTGAAAGGGAGGAGTCAAGTAGCCCTTTCCACTCGGAGTTCATCAACCAACCATTTTGGGAAGAATAAATCGTCATGTTACAATTAGCCCTCCCTTACAGGTAAATCTTTAACTTCAATGCGTCCAATGTACTGCCGTCTGTGTGACAAGGTACCTAAGGGATGATGGAATACTGGTTAATTCCAATAGTATGGTGACGAATAACAAGATCTTAAGGTTAGACAACATCCATTTGCTGTTGAGTTCCGGAACTCTCCGTAACTTCGACGGCAGTTGTCTTCATAGCATTCCAAGTACGCAGCTTATCGAGAGTACCTGCCCAGGAGCGCAACCCCAATAGATATATATAAAGGTCATTGGCTTTGACAATTATCGCGTTTGTTTACCTCGGCACTACAATTACTCCAAAAAAACATAAAGCACACTTTGACATTTCACGAAACCGCATCATTCTTTTCGCCATGTCCATTAGATTCATCCTCCCATCGACCCAAGTCTGGGAAGACGACGATTTCAGACTTGAACTCATCATAGACGACGACGGGCTCGTCGGTTGGGACTCACTGCGCTATCTCCATATTCAGTTATGGAACACTGATGGACATCCAACGAATACGAGGTTAATAACGAGGTGATATGCTGAGGGCAGCCGCTGGCATACGGTCTGGCCGAGCCAATGGTTCCAGGGCCTTGAGACGTACGAGTCATACTATTTCCTCGTCTCACTTCGGACACGCAGGAACAGCGGTACCGTCAGACAAGCAAGGAGCGCCGCAATTGAGTTAGCGCCGTATTATAGCAATTGAGATATGGTTATGGTTGAATGAGGTTTTATTCGAGTTGGCAGTTGTTAGTATCAACAGCGTTGAACCGTAATTGATACTCGGCGGCTAACCTCATCACTTGATTTCAAATTCACTCAAGGCTTAACCCTCACAATGTTACGAGTGGTCGTTCGTGGCTCTCTTTCCTTTTTTTTTTCCCATTTATAGTTCTCTAATCACCTTCGATTCTTGTTGAGCTTTGGGTATTAGTAATACTATCTTTTGAATTGGTATTTATAACTCGGTTCATTCTAGAGCTTGGGGTTCGAGATTTTAAGTACGAGGCTGTAAATGGGCAGCCCCTATATTTTTTTTTACTAGGATCAATACTTTGGATATTTCCTAATGAAATCTGTGTCTGTGTTAATTTATCAGTTGATATGTTTTAAAACTCAGCATTGTATTAAAAGGTCATTAGTAATTGTTAGTTTATTGAAAGGATTCATGATTTCCACAACGTAGAGTCAATAATCCCCTAGCTATTCGAGTCACTATCACCAAACATCGATACACCTGCTCCGTAATCTCTTGTCGTTTAGCCGCCGCCTCACGTCCAGGGATGCCCATCCTTCCCGAGCTTGGCGTTCATAAAAGCCCGACTGAGCAGATTTTCGCCAACAATCTGATCCTTATGCGCCTCCATCTCTTCAATATCCCCTTACGACGCAGACCATGTCAGTGGAGTAGCGATCTTTGAGCACTAGAAGGGGGACTCACAGTTTACGCTGAGTATGCCGCCGCGCATCCATTCGGCGCGCGGGGTAGACAGGAAGAGTGTCCAGCTACCACTGAGAGCGGCGCTATCCTTGGCATACGGCTTCAACGCATCGACAGTCATCCCCGTCTGGACAATTCCCGGCATGAGCGAGAACACGCGTATGCCGGGCTGCTCGGCGTGTAGGTTCTCCATGATGCGAACAAGGGCCAGCTTGGATGCCGTGTAGCCCGCCATACCCGGAAACACGCTGGCGATGGCGCCCGTCGTAAACGTGACGACGGTGCCGACGCCGTCCGCCTGGGCGAGAAAGTGGTGCGTCATTAGGTACGACCCCAGCACGTTGACCTGGAAGTCGTTGAAGAACTTCCTAGGCTCGACGGTGCCAATAGGCCCCCCTTCCAAGCTCCCCGCGCTGTTGATCAGCACATCGATCTTTCCGATCGCCTCCTTGGCTGCCGCGAAGAGCGCCGCGACCGAGGCTCCGTCGGTGATGTCGGTCGCCTGGGCCAGGACTTTAGTGCTGGGCGGAGCGAGACTTCGGAGCCGTGTGACGATGCCCTCGAGCACATCGGCCTTGCGCCCAGTAATCACGACGCCGGAAGCTCCAGCGGTCACCCATGATTCGGCGATGGCCTGCATCTATTGGTCACGCGAAAGAAAACTGAGTCTCCGGAAGTCGTGCTTACCTTGCCTATGCCCCCTGAAACGCCGGTAATGAGCACTGTCTTTCCCTTTGCCGACAGCTCTGGCTGGGTTGGTTCTAACAGTGGATAAACATCACGGCGAACTTGTTTCGTTAGCTGGTAGGGTAGGGTGAATGCGTTAGGATCCGAATAGTCCATTGTTGTTAAGGGTGCGTAATCTTTTTTCACGGGCACGGGAGATGCGTGAACTGTGGCGATAATGAAAGGAATGGAAAGAAACTCACAAAAACAATAACAAAAATAAGAACGACCCCCCGTCTGATTATGCTAACTAAATAGTGGAGGATGTGTAGGTGGTGATGGTATTGGTCAAATGGTATTGGTAATATGTCAAGGTTGGCTGCAGGCTAACATACGGCCTGCACAGGCCGCAACAGCCCTACGAACAGCCTGATCAACAGCTGTATCGATACCTGGCATCTGTGACGGCCCGCTCTACTGCATCGTATAGGGCGCTGACAGTGCCGCGCAGGGGCTTTGTCCCATACTGCGTCGTGTTAGACAAGATCGTACAAGTAGGCCCACAACTTCAGTGGCGTTATATCTCTCTTTTCAAAGCGTAGAACGGCGGCTTGCGTTCTATGGTGCCCACCAACAACGTCGTCGTCAGCAGCTTGGTTTGCACGCTCCCGTATCCGGCTGAGATTCGCCTGGGCGATAGAGCTACATTCAGTCTTACGGCTTAGCTCAACGCTAGGATGTGTAAAGCGCTCAGGGCCGTACCTAAGACAGTATCACATAATGATAGTGCTCATGACAGCACTTTGAAAAGTACAGTAACTCAACTAATACAATTTCCCGTGTTGGTCAGTTGCGACAACCGAATATAGGGGGAAAGGATTACACTTGTAACGGTGTTATTCTATGGGATATCTAGGTAGAGATGTAATGAGACATTCACATGTGTTTGAAGGCATGCAGCATCTCAGGGCAAAATGCTTTTATGCATTCGACCAACACTCCTACCACATCTTGCCCGCTTGCGATGTGATATAACTCCGAACTCGCCAGACGGCATGTTTCGGAGGGTCCGCGAACCCATCGACTGTTCTTGACACCTAACTATAGCCTACTAGCTAGTTACCCGTCGTCAGCAAGGCTTAGTACAGGTGTGCCCATGTCTCGGCTCATGACAGCTTGGTTGGTGCGATATCACCACTACAAGGCCACTCATTTCAATTAAAGCACTACTCGTGAAGTCAAACGCAGCAATATTAGCCTCAGAGTTATCGGCGAGCCAGTTACGCGGCTCGACAGCTATTTAAGATCGACACCATAGTTGGAGAACTGTCTCACTCCGTCAATATCAGCCACGGTTCCTAAGGCACGCGCCAGGCTCACCGCCGATACTCGGATTACGATACCGACCTACACCTCAACTCTCTCCGCGAGGCGGAGCATTGCAACACCATCGGCGACTACATCTTCCGTGGCACCATCCTGTGAGTGCCGAATGGCTACCTAGCCGGGAACGTGCGTAAAGTAGGCGGAGAAGGGACGGCGTGTGACCTCTGGAGCCGCGTGGCCTTGTGTGATCTGATGGTGACGTTGTGACACCGACCAGTACCTAGGTAGCTGGGCTCTCTCGACCGAGGGCAAGGGCCGAGCGGGATCGCAGTACAAGTCTAGTAGCGCCATGAGATCGATGGCATCAATCTGAGCCATGTCGGGGGTGTTCCTGCTACTTGGTTACTACTATAGTATATTTCCAAGACGTCTTGATAGGAAATTGCGATTCGGCGAGGAGTGAGTTGGTCATCTGTGCTGATGGTACGCTCTTAAAACCTGACTGCCATTAATGTCGCCGAAATTAATATGTGTTTTCAACTTGTTTATCCCACATAATAGTCTCCATTTGATTTATCTACTTGCTAAGGCTCAGTAAGCCGAATTAAAGCTGCATTTATCATTCCTATTAGCGCGTCTCCGCATTTTAATCAACTACAATAAGTTTTCTGTGTTCTAAGGTGAAAATCGATGCATTATATCGATTATTATGTATGAGCGATTCATGCTTGAAGAACAATATTAATGCGAAACAAGTCCTCAGCTCAGCAGGAAGCTGATCATGTAGAAATAATCCTATAGTCTTAAAATCTGATATCCGGATCTTGTTGGGCTGTATGTTTTTGTATATAATTAATTATCTCACAGAATTTACAGATGTGGAGTTGGCATCTTCAAATCTCGATTGGTCTAGTGGTAAGGATACCTGCTTGTCATCATAGAGTTCGCAGGTGGCCGGGGTTCGATTCCCCGATCGAGAGCATATGTATTTTGCTGTTCCTTTTTTTTTTCTCTCTTTTTTTACCCTCTCACCTGATTTGATCTTTTCCCCTTGCCTTCCCCCCCAGGCTATCAAAATGCTGGGGCGTGGGGGTCCTTGAGATTGCAAATTGAAGAATATTTTTAGGCTAGGTTATATGACACCGGTACATGGATATTAGTAACTCAGCAGAGCAGATGTCTTCGCCCAACTACCGATCTCAATGACCCAAGACGGCCTCAGAGCGCATGATGAGCATCGACTTCTCTCTAAGAACCCTGAGCTTGCCTAGGGTAGCGACGCTGCGTGCACCTGATGTAGCAATTGCGATGCGCTTCTGCAGGTCAGCACCAACAGTTGCGACACTATCGCATGTGTCGCGCAGAGGTATAGACCGTTGGGTAGTGTGGTGTATTAACAGCGCCCCTTTGCGCGAGAGTATGCTATTCACCCTCGAGGCTGAGTGTACGGGCGTCAAGTCGCCATGCAACAGTAGTAAAGTGCCAGCGTGCCAGCGTGCGATCGGGAGTCTCGGGTGTATTGTAGCTGTGTTATAACACACTGAATATGAGACCTTGGAAATGAACCAAAAACCTTATAAAGCTGCCCAACGCCACCTTGAAAGCGCTACAAAGTCGCCTTGATACCAACCGGCCCAACTACCTCCCTCCGCGCTTTCCCTTCCCACGTACCAACAGCAATCGCCGTCCGCTTCCCCTGATGCATAGTCCACTTAATCGGGCCTTCAGGTAATTCCTCGACGCCAAGCAACTCCTTCAATCCCCCCACAAGCGGTACGATCCCATGCTCATCTCTCGCCTGTCCGCCGTACCGCTCTGGTATACACTCGATATCGATCTCCTTCAACAGAGTACTCAAGATGTTGGCGGGCGGCACGATGACCAGCTTCTCTGCGGTGCGCGGATCGAACCAGGCTTTCAAGAAGGACCAGATGCGCGGGAAATACGGTGGCGCGTTAAGCACGTAGATCGTGTCGACCACCTCGGGATAACAAGTCGCTAGAAGCCCGGTGATGCTCTGCGCATATCCCCGTATGTTCCAGGCTTGTCGCAGAGTTAGGGAGGCGATGTCGGCTAGGTACACGGCGCCGGAGACTGGCTTGCGCCGCCGATCGGCGGCCATTATGGCGCAGAGCGGTAGCGCGAAGCGCGTCAGGTAGTCGAGTGAGGTGAGCGCGCGACACGTTATCTGCGATGCGCTGTAGCTGCGGTACTTTGCGAGGTTTGCGCCATCCACTGCGACGTTTACGGTTAGCAAGCACTGTCTCGACCGTGATCTACAAGAAATCAGATACAGAGAAACGTCCTCATGCGCATTTCCAGCCCGAGCATGAGCCTCCGTGCCTCAAGGATGAACTAAGTCGACAGAATGGCCAAGGCATACTCACAATTGGCCACATCAAAAAGGCATATTGGGAGGCCGCGTTTCGTTATATGACCAGACCAATGGGGATACTGAGAATCTGCGATCTCAGTTTTCATGCTCTAAAGAGGCGAGGCGGTTGAACGCGCAGAGCAAGACGATGGACAAGGAAAATCGATTACACACAATGCTGCGCAAGTGTTCAAAGTCATCAATATCAATGCTATTATATGCTTCGCCCGAATTGGTGGAGTGCCGAATCGCCTGGGCTTCTTTGAACTGCTGCAGGGCCCCGGAAACATTGAATGAGCGAGCGTACAGGAACCTCCTAAAAATTGTTAGTACGAGGCTTAATGTAGGAGAGAGGCAAGGCTTCGGTACAGTAAAGCAGCCTCATCTTGCAACCCATCTAGTGTATCCTCGGCTGACAAGCCCGTAGGACGTTCGAGCAACCCGAGCTCGCGACATTGCTGGACGAATGACTGGAAGCACTGCTGCTCATGAGCTGTGAGTTCCGTAGTGAAGCCACTGAGCTCTCCGTTCTCTTTCTTGCTTGCTCTTGGCTCCTCAACGGTGGAACCGTAGCATTGCCCGTTCTCCATATCGCGCAGTCTCAAGTTTCCAGAAAATTGTTCCAACTGTAAGACGGAGGACCGGTATTAAAATGAAAGATATAGAGAGGCTAACAAACAATATTTGCTGGTAGATGCCGGGCTACGGTCCGCGCGGGGGAGCTCTACGCTTATGTTGCACCTACTTCACTGCAGACAAAAAGGGCCAAGAGATCTACACCACGGGTCGGACCTGCATTTATTGTGCTTGGCGCGGGTGCTACCTTTTTCGGTCAGTGAATGCATACTAAGGTAGTGGCTTCGCCTCCTGACACTATGCATGGTGTGTGGTCAAAGACGTGGGCGTCCTCAGAGAGCTGGGGTAGTCTTGGGCCTTGAAACTTATACAGCAGTATCTGTCTTCGAGGGGGTTGAAGATGAAGATACAACAAAGGCGGAGTGGAAACCGTGGGTCATTTGAGTCGAAGGATTGGTCTAAGACGCATTTGAGGGAGATGTAGGAAAACCTCAGCTGAAGGGTATTTCCTAATTGTGCTAAGCGCATCCGTGATATCTCTTTCTCTGGCTCAATCGGTGTAGAAATCCATGTAAGCAAAAGAAATCAGGTAAGTTCTTGCAGATGTGCGGGCCGTCTAGTGCTACGTAAACGGTGGGCAATGCGACTGGAAAGATGCAGAAGTTGATCTTTGCTTCATTCATCCAGACCGCGAGCTGTCATAGTCGTACGTGTACCCAAGCACGACAACTCGCAAAAAGGCCAACACGTTTCGACGCTTCGCAAAACTTGGCGATCGCCTTCTATTTCTCCTCGATATATCTTTCCTGGCCTGTCTAGTCAAGCAGCTCGATCTCGCAAGCGATGTCATATCCTATTGAACACGAGTGTGGTGGTTGTCTGGGATCTTCGGCGACACACGATGTGCCCTGTAGGTTGGCGGCGCAAAATACGCAGTGATCTATTTCGAAGCGGTGTAAGACCCACGTGTGAGCAATGAGCGAGAAAGACAAGCCATTCCGAGCTTCGACAGTTATTAGTGACGGGACACTTTTCGCTGCTACGATGGCCTGCCTTGGTGGCGAAGGGAGGCCTTGTGTACCAACCTCTCATGTTTCCGTAGCTTCAAGCTTTCTACGGAGCCTAGGCTTAGCGCAAGCTTCTTGCCGTGAGAAGTTGGCCGCGTGTGTTCGCAATCAATGCCATCTGTATTGGGAGCTGGATGGCACTGGGCTAGGATACAATGCATGCGCGCCCAGCGCCGTAGGATTCTTCGCAACAGAGTTGTCTTAGGAATTCTCGTACCAGTCAATGTCTATGAGCAAAGCTACTGACTCAGCATCATCGTAAAGCATCCCAGCGGCCGCATGAAGGAGATCACTTGAGTTTGGCTGTCTCTTAAACTTCCTGATCTAAAGTTTTCCGGGTACGAACGCGAGCGCAGGAGTCATTGCACGCAAGACCCAGCATACGCTTGGTGACTTGCTACCTCATTTTCGCGGGATCAGCTCTAGGAGGGTTGGTTGGTGACTTGGCTCGCCGTGACGCTCTGGATCATGACACGAAACACAGCTGGTGGTGGGATAATTCGATAGGAAGGCGATGTTAGAATGCGTTGAGGTGTTCTGAAAACGCGTGGGCTGAGGGCGGTTCAAGTTCTCCATACTAATACATCGAGGGTGTTGCGGGAGTCTCCCAGCCGATCATGAAGCTCGCTTTGGGTGTGACGGCCGGCGGAGCTGCAATACACAGCGACTTGCGGTTGGGCGTGAGCTTATTTCACTCGAATTTCCTATACCCCGATCGGAGCAGCTGGAGCAGCTAGTCAGGCTCTCAATTGAGCACATCCTTGGGCAGCCAGCAGAGGACTCGGAAACGACGGTGCGAGTCGTTCAGCAGGTTCATAACGTAGCTTCTTGACAGCCTGACAGATTCTGTTTTTACTACCGCAGCGATCATTCAGGGAGCATTCGGTCGCTCGAATCTGCCTCCTCAAGTCATGACGAAGATTCCAGTAACAAATCATGGTGTCGACTGGTTCTCCTGGCGGCCAGATCCCCCGTGCTTGTTCCTTCACGGAAACGCAGCGACTTCTATGCATGGTCTTTCTGGACAGCAGTGGATGGTCATCAACCACTTCCCTTTTATGATACTTTAACCTTGTTTGAGGGTTTGCCTTATTACGCACGCCGCAGCCCCTGAGAGTCGAGAGTTCTAATGGATTGTGCTGGAACATACATATGTAGCTTGGTAGCCATGGTCCACTCTATGCGGCCATGTATGAACCTTCTGCATTCGCGGTGGTGATCCCGTACATGAGGCTCTGATTCGCATTAAATGCCACTGCAAAGGGATAGGATAGGACTCCAGCTCTGCTAGTAACAATATATTGAGTGGCCGTGGTGTGTGTAGGAGGCTTTGGGGCCCTCAGAATAGCTACCAAGTACCAGGTAGGTAAGTAGCTCCTATTTAAGCTACCACCTACCCGTTTAACTTTCCGTTCCGGCGTACAAAGCTTATGTACAGGATGAGGATTTCGTCATGCAATGCTACTCCCCCAACCAGGTTATTAAGTGCCAAGCAGTAGCTGCGGGGACGCTATCCAGAGCCCCCAACGAACTTAACTACAGGCTGGTGGTATACTCAGCTGTTACCTGCTACAGACGGCTGAGGGACATAGAGGCAGATGTAGGTGCCTGTACCACATGTACTGCACATGGCAACTAGTGTAGGTACGCTATATCGTTGCTAACTATAACTTCCCACCTCATTGGGTTTTTTCTGCGCTAAAGACAAGCCGATCACTATCTCCGCCTCCCAATCCTTGGTGCCTTGGCTGTTTGTCGTAGCGTAACTGTACTCGTACACCCATGCAAACTCTCTGATTATTCTTGTCTGCTCTACACTACTGGTAGATAACGGGACAAGTCCTGGGAGGTTATTTAGATCCAGGCACAGTCGGTACCTGTAGCAATCAGAGCGGCTCTGTGACACGTCACATCGCCCGTTTTGCCTCACCTTGATCTGATTGCGAGCTGCCCTCGTATTCTGCGCCTTTGGCTTAAACCCCCCTTCACAAATCGCAAGTCGTATGGTTATCGCCCGCTACTCACTATGGCCCTCGATTCACCGCTTCCAAATGGTCCGTCGCTGCTCTCGATGCCGACCGAGATCCGCAGTGCCATCTACGAGCGCGTTATCAACACCGAGTGGGTGCACACTTCACCGGACTACTTCGTCCTTGACCGGCCCTTGCCCGCGCTCTTCCGCGCCAACAAGCAGATCCGGTCCGAGGCCCTGGATGTTTTCCTGCTCAAGAACCACTTCCACGTCTACACGAGCACCGTCGGCCTTAAGTGGATCGACATCCTCGGCAAAGACGTTGAGAGATTCCGCTTCCTCATCCTCTTCATCGATCTCAATCTCGAGGCATGGCTTAGATATCTCAGAGCTCTTTTACCCCACGTCTCAAACTACCTGGAACTTCGAATCCGGAAAGCTGCCGTCAGCTTATCCGACAAACGACTGCAGACGTTTCTACAGTCCGCAGGACTCTACGATAAGCATCGTTGGACTAGCGAGCAAAATCCCGCCGGAGAGCTTATTTTCAAGCAAATCAAAGCTTAGGCTCAATATGTTTTGTGACCAACTACCACCCGCTTCTCATTCTTCTACTATGAATGTGTTGTGTCTTTGCAAGGCGATTGCTTGAATTATGTCTTCTCTGCAAGCTGATTATCATGAGTTTGCTACTTCTACATAATGACAGTTGCCAAATCATGTGTAAAGAATAGTCACGAAATGGGAGCTCCCTCGATTGCAAACTAAGAACATGTATGTTTAAATGACGAGCATTCATTTAGAATGTACCGTAGCTAACGCGGTAGAGATTAAGAGTGAGCAAGTTATTTCTCTATAGGCCACTATGGTGTACGATACTGGCCAGCCCTAGGCCCTAAAAACATGGATACCAATGTCAAGGACAATTACGTCTTCGTATAATCGACCTACTCGGGAATGCTCATACTACATGTCACTACCAAGAACCTCACTCCCTCTTCAATGGGTTTCTCAGAAGGCAAAGGGAAAGGGAATGAAATTATAAAGCTTGTCTTCTCACCCCGTCTTCCGAAGTATCTATAATTCTCAACACTGGTATCTACCCAATATAATCGGGTGTATGATGGAGCGGCTCAGTGACATTGATTCTATGACATGCTCAACAGTACTCCAACTTATTACTCTAGAGCTTTGTAGTGAACCTCCTCACGTACTATAGTCAATCAGCTATAGTTCGAGACAGTTGCTAAGGCTTTCTAGTCAACAAACCTTTGCCCCGTTCCAATTCATCACATAATCACCAAACAAATGGCCATTTCATATATAAGAGCAGCGCTGCCGGTATGCAACTCTATGCTTTGACCTGTTTTAATAATATACTAGTGATGTAGAATATCACTGCTATTATTACCTAGGTACTCAGCACAGTGTATATAAAAGGGAAAGAGGTATAAAGTTATTCCATTAAGCGCAACACTGCTTTACTGGGTTAGGGCTCGGTCAGCGGGGTGCAACCACCAAAGTGCTAACCTACCCAGCGAGCCTAGGTACCTCTCAAGGGCAAAAGGGGCAGGATGATAGTGAGGCAGAGGATATATAAGTAAGACAAAAAGCACGAAAAGATGATGCGGAGAAAGAAACACAAAATGGTTAGATGTTGTCACATTACTGCTACTCCGAATCGGGGAATCGAACCCCGGGCTTGACGGCACTTTTCCAAGCTGATCCGAAGATCGATTGAGAGCGTCAAATGTTAGCCACTACACCAATTCGGATTGAATCGAAAGCAATGCGCTGCCCACTAGCGGAATCGAACCGCTGATCTTGTCATAGCATTAGCAAACACGAGTTTGCCTCGGAATACTAGTGACACGCTATACCACTTAGCCAAGCGGGCATCTGATTAGAAGATAGCAAATTTTACGAAATCCAAGGATTATGTATGACACGAGAGTTGTCGGGAGAAAGCATGTGTAGAAAGAAATTGAGCAGTCATTAATTAGGTAATGTGCATAAAATCCTGCACAGTATTCACCCTGATCCGAGGTACTGTAAAAGGAAAACCGCCAGCTGGGCTTCTAGTGTAGATAGCGCTAGCGTTCGGCGGATTCTACATCGGGGAATAACCGCTTGTGATATCATATAGGAGACACCAAGCATATTAGGTATGATCATAGGAGTACCTCCAGTGTTGAGTATTATTAACAGACAATTAATACATCACTAGCATGCTTAGAATAAGTATAGGTATAGCCCTGATCGTTGGAAAAATCAAAGTCGCCCCCCTATCAAGGATGTAATAAGCCTACCTGGAGTTGAAATCCTAGATTGATAGCGGCGATTCCTTAAGCAACATACAAACCTATAGTTATTGAAAACAACGCACTCGGTGTTGCAGCAGAACAAACAGAACATGCCTCGTTCCTTTCCTCCTTTCATATATGCATGTCTGTCGCGATTCAAAAGATCCAGTTACACCTCAAAGAAGTATAAGGCTTTCCTAATCCGACGATCATGACCCTTGTATATCAGTTCCTCTGTCGTTAGTTCATCCTTGATCAGAGGGAGCAGAGCCCCCAATTAGATTGATGTTTATATGAATATCCTCAGAGACCTCCTCCGTAGCAGCGAGAATTCCAACATCGATCATCGTTTGAATTGCGTTGCCTGGCGGTTCATCCTGAGAATCATCTGGGTGATTCAACAGCACTAGGTATCTCTCTTGCACCTCGGGTAGGTTCGGTTGTAATTCTGAACATCTTTGATACGCATCGCGTGCGTTTCCATATTAACGGAGACCAATATCATACTATAATTACGTGTGTTAGAAAATGGACCGGTGGGAATACATCTACCCTTACCAGAACGCTGAGATTATACCAAGGCTCGTATAGATTTGGATTTGACCGTATAGCTCTCGACAAAGCATCAAGCGCGTCACGGTATTGGTTAACCAGACAATACATGATAGCAATTGTGATCCAGAAATTTGTATGTCTGATTTCTCTATAGACTGCTTGCTGGAGAGCCTCATAGGCACCTCGATAGTTGCCGAGTAGGACATATATCTTAACCAATAGATACCAATAGTGGGCAATGGAATTATCTGAAGAGATTGTGAATTGTGTTCATCAAGTTTGGAAAGGATATGGTGTGAGGGGTATGGGAAAGGGGTGTAAGGCATGGCAATCATACCAGACGTAATGGCAATCTCTATGTAATCCCTCGCTCGGTTAAGAGCATTGTTGTTAGGGTCATCTTTCAGAGCAGCTTGGGCAAGTCGAAGACCAACATAGGCATTTGCTTCGGGATTCCTGTCATCAGCTGCCAGCCTGCGATGAGCGTCCCAGATATCGCGAATTGCCTCCACAGGTTCATTAATCCGAACTCGACGAAAGTGGTTAATTTCCTTTGATAACTCCACTGAAGGTAACTCAGGGCCAGTCATGATATGTGGAATGTTCGATTCTAACGAATATCCTGGGTTTCTTTCTTTACATAGATCGTAAAGCTTAAGCAGTAGAGGGCTATGTTTCGAGATCTGTGACCAGCGTTCACATGCAGAACTATAGAGATCCAATTAGAACAACTTCCCATCAATGAGACCATGACACGATACTTACCATCGCTTCATGATGAGTTGGCTGTCTGGCTGTTCAGAGATAAGGCCCGTACAATCAGGGTATGGACAACCTTCCTTTTCCCTCGCGTGGTTGTTCCGGCCTAGAGACGTAGCATCGCTCCTGTCATCTCTCGATATAATCATGGCCTGTTCTATGTGAAGACCGGATTTTACAGCGTTGGACCATTCGTTTTGTGAAAGAATTCTTCCTGTTTTCGCCAGATTAATGACGAATAAGTTGTCTGCAATGAGACTCGCACCCGGCCTGCTATTTGCATAGACGACGTTGAGTAGCAAATCGCGGAAGGACTTTCACCTTGTTAGTGCTAATGAGTCCTCCCAGTAGCGTTTAACAGACTAGAACTTACAGTCCAAGTTGTACAGGCCTGCAACGGCAAAGCCCAACTCTCGCCTAGTGCGTCATCAAGACGGATAATGTCCAAGGTGAGATGCAGCGGAATAGCTTCAATTGCACGTGCAATTCGCTTCATTTGGTTTGCTACGTCAAGCAAGGCACGTCTATAACACAATATTGCAATTAGAATGATCTCAAGCCTTCACGTATAATGGGTAGGTCTCTTACGTATTTCGACCGATTGCGCTTAGCATTTCCTTTGAACATGTAGCCAATCTAGCATGAAAGTCAGCTATGAACTGCCAATTAGGGGTCTGATTTAAAGGAAAAACTACAGAATGAGGAGGCTTTTCATATTCTGTAGAACGCTGAACATTGAATTGGAAGCGCGCCTCATGAAAGACATGTGCCGGCGGAGCAAGGCGGAGCCATTGGCCACACTAAGTGATAACATGTTCAAGTGTGCCGTAAAATCTGCAAGACTCTGATCTAAAACGCCTAGCTGCTTCGATTGCTCCTCAGCTTGCATTGTAGCGATAGACCGAAGTTCGGTAATAGCACTGGGTGTTGTTGAGAGAATATCCAGGATTTTTGAGGTCTTCTCGACGAGTGCCCTAGACTGCTCTACAACGGGTGCAGACTGCGCGCTCTTGGAATCTCGGATTTTCAATGAGAGATTCCTGATATGATTCCTGGTTCCACAGTCAGATACTTTTCACCTACGACGTGTAGAGCTTTTCTACAGTTGTTGGGCACTTAGAAGCATGTTTATCGCCACCATCTCCGAGAGAAGTGTTGTTCGGAGGTCTTCAACATCTTTCTGAGCTATCATAGACCAGTGTAGTCTCGTGCCAATGTTACTTAGGCTCCTTCTGCTGCGGTAATGGCCTAAGCTACTCTGCTTGGACCTCATTTTGCCAACCAGCGCCTGTATAGGTGGCAGGCAATGCATGACAATTGCCCGGATCTGTTCAAGCGTCTTGGCTTCAGCAGCATCCTCAGGGGACAGACAAAGAACATGTTTAAGTGTGCTGTGGAGAAGTTCAAGCTCAACACCAAGCTGCTGAAAATGCGTTGGGGCGTTCTTATAATTGCGTAATTCGACGGCAACACGCTCAAAAAGCCCAAGTACGGCGATGACATCGCCAATGGCAAATCCGAATGACATCGCAGCAGCAGTTAGAGATATACAATCAAGCTGTCGGATCTTGTCATCTATGAATCGGCGGAAACATTATATCTACCCCGCCAGACACGAGACGACATCAATCAGGCTGCAAAGAGCACAGCCCCAGCGACACCGCCTCCAAGGAGCACTGGTGTGCCTGCAGCGGAACAATCATAATCCGAAAACCTCCCTCCCAACCAGCATCGCGACAGGAAGCAGCTAATTTAGGAATATCAGTGTAAGTGAAATTCTGTTATTATATAGTATTTGAGATCTAGTCTTTCCTAGCTCTGCTTCATTATTCAAGCTGCAAAAGCGATCTTAATTGATGACCTTGTTCAGGATTCGTCAGGTGAGGGTAACGTGGAAGCCTTGGTTATCGTACGGGAGGTCACCTATACATAATTAGACGCTGCAAACTGTATCTGGCTTTCGTATTCATATAGATCATATCTTAGGCATGAAGCCAGATTGCAGAGGTTTTGGATAGTTAATAAATGAAGCTATTCAGACTCTGATATACTCGGCTAAACCTTCCCAAGGTGACGTTTAGGGCCGGACAGACTTGGAGCCTTCCATACCAACAATTCAAACTTATGTCATTTGTAGCCATCTTTATTATTTCCATGGTCATAAGTAATATTCTATCACTTTCCTTTCTTCGGGAACCGTATTCGTATAGCCGTGGTGCGTGGCGTTTGATGCTTCTTCAAATTGAACATGACGTAGCAAGTTGTTTCATATTAGTCACTAGAATATACGAAATGTTACACGAGCGGTACATTTCCCTTACTTCAGGATAGATAGTAGTTAAGGGTTAGCCTTGTATGAAAAGTGCCTTGTTGGCTGCACAACCAAGTACCCGATGCTGAGATAGCTTATAATTGTTTCGCGTCGAACGGACGCCAGGGAAACACTTCTGTTACCTCCTCCAATCATTTAGCAAGCGTAAAATGTGCCACGTAAGACTTGGTCTTTTTGCGAAATCTATACAAGGGAGAAATGGTCCATTGGGGTACATATTCAAGGGAGCATTCTGAAACCCATGAAGGCGGTGATCTCTCTTATGGTCGTATGTGAATAGATTTACTGGCCAGAACAACGTGACCAGCTGCAAACACACCCAATGTGTCCATACGCATGACCCCAGTCTCGCCAGTCTGGGTTGGTAGACGTCCCATGGTAGAGCTTGAATTTTACGGCTCTCAAACTATTAGTCGAGTCGAGTGCTAGGCATTGTATGAGTGAAGCAAGGGAGAAACGCTCAAATCTGTACAATCCGCGAGCTCAATTGTGCAGCTGGTAATTAGTGTCTGGACAGTGATATAAATTTAACAGCATCGGTTATTGTATTAAATTTTCTTTTAATTTACTCTCCATTATTCGTGTCCACTTCTTTCATACCACCAGAACCTTCTCCCACGGCACATCAGCAAGCAACCAGTATCACAATGGCTAAGCCTGGTGGCATGTCGGCTTGGCTCGTTCGCACACTCGCAGACGATGAGTTAGTCAAACAGCAGAGCCTATCCTCCAGGCACTTATCCTTCCCCTGTCGACTTTGTTTCGCCTTTGGCAAACCAATCACGCCTACTACTGCCCGTCATCAAAACTTGAGTACTGCGAGTTGTGCTTTGGACATAGGAGGAAAGCTATACGTAATAACCTCAACGCCTTTCGTGACAGCAAGCTCACCTGACGGAACCAGAAATGGAATCGTCTGGAATGATCAAGAAAACGACTGCTATGACG